GTGCGGGGGTCGCCACGAGAGGCACCTACAGCTACAATACTCTTCTCAGCTGCAAGTAGTTCCTTCTCTAGGGCGGTAATGGTGAGCTCAGTGGGGCAGCGAGCTAGGAAGTGGTCCCTGACTGTACGCAGAGTGTCAGGGAGGCGGGTGACTAGGTGGTAGAGAGTGAGCCAGAGCGGGGGAGGGTTGGAGGCAAGAAACTCAGCGGGCATGGCTGCACGGAAGCGGGCATCACTAGTACGGAGGTGAGTGATGAGGTCAGCGACTGTCTGGAAAGCGGACAGGTCGGGGAACAGGTAGGGAAGGGAGAGACGGCCTAGTGCAGCTGAGGCCGGGGAGGAGTAGCGCGCAACTACAGCAGTGTACAGGGCCTGCGCAGTCTGATGCTGGCCGAAGTGCTCACGCTCATCTACTGGCAGGGAGTTGCGAATAGCAAAGCGGGCGTGGGCATCGCGAGTCTGCCACTGCGAGCGAGCAGTAGCGGTAGCAGTAGTAGCAGGAGCAGGGACTGTGCCTAGTGCGTGATCGTACAGCGAGATATCCTCTCTGGCAGTGAGCTGGAGGAACAGGTGCAGATCATCGAGCCAGGTATCAAACTTAATCGGGCGGCCCTCAGAATCGAACGAGAGAACTGTAGGGCTAGTCATAGCTGAAGTAGCAGTAGCAGCAGTGGTGGTAGTAGCAGTAGCAGTAGCAGTAGCAGTAGCAGTAGCAGTAGCAGTGCTGTGCACAGGTAAGTAGGGCGCGGCTCGGCTAGGGCGGCGCGGCTCGGCTAGGGCGGCGCGGCTCGGCTGGGGCGGCGCGGCTCGGCTGGGTCTCGCGGTTCGGTTCGGGTCGCGCTGTGCGGCTCGGTCGTAGAGGGGCGAGCGCGGGAGGGCCGGTCGGGGCTAGCGCGGGGCCAAAGGGGGGGCCGTGAGAGGCTAGCGCGGGGCCTGCAGGGGACGTGGGAGGCTAGCGTGGGGCCTTAAGGGGCCGTGAGAGGCTAGTGCGGGGCCTGCAGGGGCCGTGGGAGGCTAGCGCGGGGCCGACGGGGGGCCTTAGGAGGCTAGCGCGGGGCTAGCGTGGGGGCCGACGGGGGCTTAGGAGGCTAGCGCGGGGCCGATCGGGGGCCTTAGGAGGCTAGCGCGGGGCTAGCGTGGGGCCGACGGGGGCTTAGGAGGCTAGCGCGGGGCCGATCGGGGGCCTTAGGAGGCTAGCGCGGGGCTAGCGTGGGGCCGACGGGGGCCTTAGGAGGCTAGTGCGGGGCCGACCGGGGGCCGTGAGAGGCTAGCGCAGGGCCATACGGGGCCTTGAGAACGAGGCGCTCGAGGCGCAGGAAAAAGAACGGCGGCGCACGAGGGCGCGGCTAGCGGAAACGGTGGGCCCTATCGTTTCGGTCCTAGGTGGAACCTAGGCTCGTAATACCATGTCAGAATGAGAAACGAGAATGAGGAGTGACTAGAAGGAACAACAGTACAAATATGTCAAACCCTAATCTGGTGTACCCCTTATGGTGTGACCCACTACAGCCTAGAACCACACAAACATATAATGTTTGACAGAAGGCAAGAAAGCGTCAACAATTTTCTACCCGATCTCAAGGGTGGCAACTCTGCAAAGGTAGCCCCAAACGGGCAAGACAAAGTGTTTAGGCACTTGACTTTTAAACCTCCATAGGAATCTGGGAGGGTACGGTAGACACTTACGCTACCTATGCCCTCTAGCTACGGTTACGACCGACGGTGTTTTTTTGCGTTGTACGTTGTATAATGCACGTTCACCTACCCAAAAAAAAAAAAAACAAGAGGCGACGAATTCGTCTTAGGGTTGCGAAGCGTTTTGCGTAATTATATAAATTTGTACAACTTCTAATTCTGTACATAATGCTGTAGTATGACACTAAGTGGTACTTCCTCTCACCAGGAGAAGGTCAAATGTACAGCGCGAATGGGATTCGAACAAAGGACCTTTCGAGTCCACTCCAAGCCTTGTACCACTGCTACAGCACAGATGTTTGCCTCGAATAGCTGAATCAGTGAGACATAAAAAATTGCGACGAATCTGAGACTACCTTAGGGTTTGTTCGCCCTTTTTTTCTCCCGCTTCTCCTCGCTCGTCACGCTCTACCAACTTCTCCACCTACTCTAACTGCAACTTAGGTAAGAAGATCCCTCAACTTTAACTCCAACTAAATTAGATGCCTATTAGATAGACTAACATTTAGTCATTCCGTATCCTAGCCGTGTAAATGGATGAGTATTAGCGAGACTTAGTTGTTTAAACTTAGGTTCTCGGCCCTTTGTAAAGATTTCAGGTTCTCCTTCCTGCATAAGCTTGCATGTGTTTCTTCTATTCTTCATCCTTAAACTTTTCCTCTCGACTGTTGCCTTTTCTTCATATTTGCATGTTATAGTTCATTTTTTTCTCAACCTCGTCTTAGGTTGTACATAAAGATTGTAATAGGTTGCATGTTCAGTCCATTTCGTTCTCTCTCGCTCGTTCTCTCTCTCCCGTTCTCTCTCTCCCGTTCTCTCTCTCCCGTTCTCTCTCTCCCGTTCTCTCTCGCTCGTTCTCTCTCTCCCATTCTCTCTCCCGTTCTCTCTCGCTCGTTCTCTCTCTCCCGTTCTCTCTCTCCCGTTCTCTCTCTCCCGTTCTCTCTCTCCCGTTCTCTCTCTATCGTTTTCTCTCTCTCGTTCTCTCTCTCGTTCTCTTTCTCGTTCTCTCTCGTTTTCTTTCTCTCTCGTTCTCTCTCTCTCTCTCTCTCTCTCTCTCTCTCTCTCTCTCTCTCTCTCTCTCTCTCTCTCTCTCTCTTTCGTTCTCCCTCTCTCTTGTTCCCTCTCTCTCGTTCTCTCTCTCGTTCTCTCTCTCGTTCTCTCTCTCTCTCTCTCTCTCTCTCTCTCTCTCTCTCTCTCTCTCTCTCTCTCTCTCTCTCTCTCTCTCTCTCGCTCTCTCTCTCTCTCTCTCTTGTCAGAATGTTATCTTATGCTCTAGCCTGTAGTGGGGTGCTCTATAGCGAGTACAACCCTTCTAGGGTTTGCTATTTGTATCCCCATTTCTGCTAGTTCACTCCACTCTTTCTTTCTTCAAACTTTGTCATCTCTCTCTCTCTCTCTCTCTCTCTCTCTCTCTCTCTCTCTCTCTCTCTCTCTCTCTCTCTCTCTCTCTCTCTCTCTCTCGTTCCGTCTCTGTCGTTCTTTCGTTCTCTTTTGTCAAATCTCTCGTTCGTTCTCTCTCGTTCGTCCACTCTCTCGTTCTCGCTCTCTCGTCCTCTCTCTCTCTCTCTCTCTCTCTCTCTCTCTCTCTCTCTCTCTCTCTCTCTCTCTCTCTCTCTCTCTCTCTCTCTCTCTCTCTCTCTCTCTCTCTCGCTCTCGCTCTCGCTCTCGGTCTCCGTTGTTCTCGCTCAACGTATTTGTTATATTCTCTTCGTTCGTTTACTGTCTGGTCATGTGTTTTTCCCTTTGTTCTCGTTCTTTACTTTCGTTTTATGCCTTAGTACATTTTCTCCTTGTTATTTGTCAGCTCTAACCCTTCAATGCTCATGGTGTTTTTCTTGGCCCTTGTATTGTTTCATTTGTTTCTTCATTATTCCTTTTTCTTGTAATTTCATTATGCCTTGTTATTTCCCATTTGCCTTCCCTTCCTCAACCCAGCTTTGTCTTACTTTTCAGGCAGTCGAGCTCAATATGAGAAGTAGACTGATATTGCTTGTGACTTACAGTATAGGATACGTAATGTCTTGGTGATTTAGGTTTCTATTCCATATGCGGTTAATATGCTTTGTCAGTTGGCTTCGTGCGTGCGTGTCTGTGTGAATGTGTATGATCATGTGTATGCGTTGTGTTGTGTGCGTATGCGTTTTCATTCATGTTTCCATTGCATTAATAACACATGTCTGTGGGGTTTAAAAATTGGGATCAAACTATCATTTCCGAGAAGGTTCTTTGCGCACTCAGTGAGTGTGTCCATTCGAACTGGATTTGATGGAATTGACCTGTTTTTTATATCACACAGATTGTGTTGTTTCATGTAACAGTTGGATGATTCAGAAATTATGCTACCGTATTGAGCTCCCCCCCATGCTAGGCAGGGGATGCGGTAGCATAGGGTCTGCGTCAATCAACTGTTACGCACTTCCATCATGCTGTGCATTTATTTCATTACGGTACCGGTAGTACCGTATATGCATTATACTTATGCATTTGCATTTACTTCATCTACTTATAACAACAGCAGACATATGCATCACGGAATAAACAGTTATGCATTCACAGTACATCATTTTGGCAACTCATGAAATATAGGTTCAGTCAAAGTAAACTAGGAAATGAGAAGGAATGTGGTTCAGCACGTGGTAAATTGACGCGGCAGATACATAGCAGTCAGTCATTTAGCTAGTACCGTTCACTATTTTTTTTCCCTCTATTTTTTAAAGGTTTTGAGGATTGAAAAAAAAAATTGTACATAACGATTGTAATAGGTTGCTTCGCAACCCAAAAAAAAATAAACCTCCATACTTTCTCCCCCACCCGTTGCATGGTCGATCGGCTTATTGATCTGCCATGTACCGCACCCTTACGAGTACTGTCATGATGTGTTTACGCTCAAGTGCAGAAGGAGGTGTAGCCCTGGATCTAAGTGTTGATATCTGACTCAACCGGATAAATAAGGGCTGAATTCAGGGCACCTCAGCCCGCTAAGTCCCGAGCCCAGAGCAAGCGACAGCCCTGGTCGCGGGTTTGACTCTGGATGTGAGCTTATTCATTACCATAACAAAATCCCGCACCACTCATTTGCAAAATAGTTACATGGTACACCAATCTTAGTCACAGCAAGTCAATCTATGACAAGCACATGTACACCATGTGCGAACACGGCATCAACAGTAATCACGTGCATTGCACGCCGCGCAATTCAACACCTACTTAAAAAAACCTCGACATCCCTAGTCGTTGTCGCCATCAATTTTGTTCTCGCTTGTTCCCATCCAGCTTTCATCCAAACACCAACAATTTCACTCCCTCTCACCTACCATAACCCCCCTGATAACCCCCTCCAACATACGACCCAGTCTGATAATCATACGTCGCTTGTCCTGCACTGACCTGCGCTCCCCCCACCCCACCTCCCACTCCCCCACCCCCCTGCCCCTGATCCCCCTGCACCGCATAATACACCGTCGTCCCCGCAGCCCCCACCTCTCCCCCATACATCCCTCTCTGCACCAGCAGCTGCGGCCCAGCCCCTGCATCAGTCAAATATGTCACCGTCCCCCCCAAACCATTCCCCAAGCCTCCCACCCCCCCTGCAGCATACAGCCCTCCCCCTAACCCTGCCCCCGCGCCTGGTGAGGTAAGCGCTGACCCCATGGTTCCCACTCCATATACCACCTCCTGCCCCAGGCTGCCTGGGCCCCCACTAGCTGTCGCATAGATGGCACCTCCCCCAGCCATACCTGCCCCTCCAAGTGAATACGCTGCTTGCCCCTGCCCCTGCACCTGCACCTGCACTTGATCCTGCCTGCCTGCGTATCCGCCCCCTCCCCCACTGTACCTAGGAGGAGGCGGGTCGTATCTGCCGCTTCCTCCTCCCCCCCCCCCCACCACCTCCTCCTCCTCCGTCTCCTGCGCCTGCTCGTCCCGGTGATGCTGCTCCGGGCCGAGACCGGCCGTATGAGCGGGGAGATGAAGACACTCCACCACCCCTCGCCCCACCACCACCACCACTGCCTCCTCCCCCACCACTACCACCAAGATACCCCCCACCACCCCCACTGCTGAACCCACCATCGCCGCCGCCGCCGCTGCCCCTCGCACCACCACCCCTCGCGCCGCCCACAGCCCGAGCGGCCGCCGCCGCCCGCAGATTCGCCACAGTGACAGCGTTCGAGCCGGAGGCCGTGACACCACCACCACCGCCACCACCAAAGCCTCCCACAGGGCCGGTAGCAAGGCGCTGCCGCTTCGCCGCCATGGCCTGCTGCACGCGTGTCTCGTGCGCGGCGCGCTTGGCGACCTGCGCCTGCTGCTTGCGGAGCTGGCGGTTCTTCTCGAGCTGCTCGATGCGCTTGGTGAGGTGGTCCGTTGAAAAAAGAGTCTTGAGATTGCAGTCGTCGACGCAGCGGATTAGGGCTCGCACCATGCTGATTTCACGTGATGTCGCCTCGTTCTGAAGGGGGAGAGGGAGGGGTAGGGGGAGGGGGAGCCGGGAGGGGGGAGAGAAAGGAGGGGCGACAGAAGGCAGGGGTGTGACAGGGAGTGAGTGAGTGCTCTGCAGCCTGCTGCTGCTTGCGCAGCTGGCGGTTCTTCTCAAGCTGCTCGATGCGCTTGGTGAGATGGTCCGTGGAGAAGCGCGGCTTGAGACTGCAGTCGTCCACACAGCGGATGAGCGCCCGCATCATGCTAATCTCACGTGAGGTGGCCTCGTTCTGTGTGGGGGGGAGAGGGGTGAGAGAAAGAGGAACGACCAGAGGCAGTGGTGACACAGGGAGTAAAACGCAGCAGATTACCGTCCGCCCGCACCATGCTGATTTCCCGTGAGGTGGCCTCGTTCGGTGGGGGAAAGAGGGAGTGGGGGGGGTGGGGGAGTGGTGGTATGACAAGCATGCGGATTTTACTTGAAAATAAGTAAGACGTTTAAAAAACTTACTTGTTTCACAGGAGTAGTGGTATGACGAGCATGCGAATTTTACGTCTTAGCATGAAACGGCATCGCATCGCAACGCAAACGCCACCGACCTCAGCCTGCACCTGCACCCTGCTGCAGTGACGCGAATCCCACGATGCTACAGCAAGGCGAGCAGACCCACCCTACGCACCTCAGCCTGCAGCGACTTGTCCTTCTTGGTCATTGCAGAGACGGGTGTGCGGATCCCATGGCATGGCAGAGCATGAGAATGCATGGCATCGCACACTAGAACAAGCAGTACATAAACACGCCCACGCCCAACGTGTGATGCGTCGATATTTTAGTCGACAAAAAAATCGACTCATCACACGTCGCACGCTACAACAAGCATTACACATACACGCCCACGCCCAACCCTACGCACCTCGGTTTTGAGACGTCTCAAACCTACATACACACACCCACCCACCCACCCACGCACCTCAGTCTGCAGCGACTTGTCCTTCTTGGTCATGGCGGACACAAGCGTGTGGATCTCATGCCATAGCACAGCATGACACTGCAATGCCATGGCAGGGACAAAAGCAAGCAGCACATACACACGTGACACACCCACCCACCCACCCACGCACCTCAGCCTGCAGCGACTTGTCTTTCTTGGTCATGGCGGAGACAAGCGTGCGGATTTCCCGCAGGTTGCGCTTGAGCAGGTCAACGGGGTCAACAGAGTCAAGCAGGTCAACGCCATGCGCCAGGTAGATGGCGTCCACCTCACGCCCCTCCTTCACCAGCCGCTCAACCACGACTGCAGGGCGGGACGCCACAACAGTAACAGCGCAACAACAACACAACACAGAGGGGATTAGTGTGCGAGCCGCCGGCAGCAGATACATCATACAATACATGGGCTGGCTTGCATGTCATGTGGATCTGCATTTGGAAAGCATTGCTGCAATGCATTGACAATGCATTTTTTAGTCGATCATAAAACAATGCATTGACAGTCACAGTGCACTGCAATGCATGATGGAAAAACGCTGTGACCGTCATAGTAAGGAGGCACAAGCAAGCAACGCAACTGGAAAGCGAAAGGGCACGGAAAATACTGCAGGGCGCAAGCTGCTTGCTTATCCCTGACAAACGCGAGAGGACGTGTACAGCACAGCACAGCACAGCACAGCACAGCACAGCACAGCACAGCACAGCACGGCACGGCACGGCACGGCACGGCACGGCACGGCACGGCACGGCACGGCACGGCACGGCACGGCACGGCACGGCACGGCACGGCACGGCACGGCACAGCACAGCACAGCACAGCACAGCACAGCCCAGCCCAGCCCAGCCCAGCCCAGCACAGCCAGCACAGCACAGCACAGCACAGCACAGCACAGCACAGCACAGCACAGCACAGCACAGCACAGCACAGCACAGCACAGCACAGCACAGCACAGCACAGCACAGCACAGCACAGCACAGCACAGCACAGCACAGCACAGCACAGCCCAGCCCAGCCCAGCCCAGCCCAGCCCAGCCCAGCCCAGCCCAGCCCAGCCCAGCCCAGCCCAGCCCAGCCCAGCCCAGCCCAGCCCAGCCCAGCCCAGCCCAGCCCAGCACAGTGAAGCTGCAAGCCCACGCACATGGCGGCTGCATATGCATGGAGGACACTCAGCGAGTGCGCGCTGTATGCTTGGTATACAAAGCCGCATTGCATCAGACAACTCAACAGCGCAACCCACGTGTCAACTGTACACTACCACCACCCAGCAGCAGCCAGTCCCACCAACCGTCCCGTCCCACTACAACAGCTGTCAGCGCCCTTTCTCCCCACCCCACGCATCCAGCCAGTCGAAACATGTGCTTCTCGGGCCCTTCACGTATGAACCCGGCTCAAAGGCGCCTTCCAGCCAACTGGAGCACGAGCTTCTGGCCCTTTTCAGGGTCACACAACACACACCAGTCACGATTCAAGCACTTTCACGGCCAAAGGCCACGTTTCGTTTCGTTTCCAGCCCAACGTGCAGCCGAGAACAGCGCAGCTGGGAATCAGACACGGGACTCATGGGGGGGGGGGGGGGGGGGGGGGACCACGGCGTGCTCTGGCCAATGGCACACGCACGTCCCATGATAAACCCCCACCCAACTCCTGAACGACGCACCATAGCCTTGGCCGTTACCACAGTGGCCCACGGCCATAGTTACTCATCAAGGGCCAAACGGCCCCACCCCAGACATAATCCCCACCTGGCTTTTTCTCCATGAGCCCCATGGCCTTCACCATGTCCGCCGTCTGCTTGCGCCGCGTGCATTGAGACAATTCTATGGGGCGCCTCGACGAAAGTATGTCAGGGCATACCCCCCACCCCCATGTGTATTCCCCACCTGGCATCTTGTCCACGATCCCCATGGCCTTCACCATGTCCGCCGTCTGCTTGCGCCGCGCGGACGACGCCACAAACCCTAGCAGCGCGTCTTCGTCCACCTGCCGCGCCACGCCAAAAACCGCCGCCACCTGCAGCACCAGCCACGCGTCCAGCGACGAAGCTTCCTCCGCCTTGCTCAGCGGTCCCCCGCTCCTCACCCACCCGTCCAAAATCCCCCGCGCCTTCTCCTGTATCGAGGGCGCAATAACGGGGACGGAAACCCCCTCCGCCTTGGCCTGCTTGGCCAAAACCTGGCCTAGGGTTTCCACGAGGAGGGAAACGGCGCGCACGTGGCTGGGCTCGACGGGCTCGCGCCGCTTATCCTTGCCGGCCGCCGGCGCTTCGACGGCCTTGGGTTTGTAGGAGTCCAGGCAGGAGAGGACCAGGCGGCAGGGGTCGAGCGCGAGGGGGAGCGCGTGCGGAAGCTCCGTGCGCACGCGGCTAATGTCGCGCCGGTTCTGCATCACGTAGCGCTTCAGCCCCTCCGCGTCCATCCCCGCGCACAGCCCGCGCAGCTCCGCGCTCACGCGCACCGCCGCCTCCCCCGACTCGTCTCCGGATCGCGGGGTCTTGTCGGACTTGGCGTCCTTAGGGGTAGCCGTAGCGCGCTCGGCTGTATTGGCGGCTGTAGCCACTCCGTTACTGGCGGGCTCGCTAGCAGGAGCCTCGGTGCCAGCTTGCTTTCCAGACGACTTGTCTTCACTGGCCGCGCGCGCAGCACGGGCTGAGGCCGAAGCCTTGTCCTTTTCCTTGTCCCCTTCAGATCGAGCCTCTTCCTTAATCTTGCCCGCCTCCTTCTCCTTCTCCTCCTCCTTTTTCTTCTCTTCCGTTAGTTTCTCCTTCTCCTTCTCCCTCTCGTTCTCCTTCTCCTTCTTATCCTTCTCAGCCTTGTCGCTGCTCTCCTTCCTCTCGCTCTCGCGCCTCGCCTTGTCGCTCCCTTCCTTACCCTTCCCGCTCGCCGCCTTGTCCTTCTCACGGCTCTTCTCCTTCTCCTCCATCCATTTCTTCCTCTCCTCCGCAAGAGCAGCGAAAGCTGCATCTCGCTGCTCCTGCACTCGCTGCATCGACGCAGATTCGCGAGACGCGATCGCACTCTCTCGCTTATCGAGTTGCTTTGTAACGGTCCGCGTCTTCTCCTCTAGGGCTCGCTCTCTCTCGCTCACGTCCTGCTCCCGCTTTCGGAGCCTTTCCTCGCTCGCGGCGAAAAACTCGTCCAGCTCTTTCCACTGCGCGATGCAGCTCGCGAGCATCGCCGATTTCGCTTGCAGGTCCGCGAAAGACCGGCGAACGTTTTCGTAACGAATGGCGTACCCTGGAATCTGAGGGTCAGGACCGTCGGTGTCGACATTTACCATCTCTTGATCCGCATCCTCCGCCGTTGTTCCCGGCACACTCGCGTTCTCCGCTCTTCCCGACGATCCGTCCACATCCTCAGGTTCACCATCTAGGTCAAATTCATCGCCCTTATCCACATTGTCCACGTCAGCCTTTCCGTCCACGTCAGCTCCCGGTTGCTCCTCCAAGTCAATTACACCATCCTTGACGTTTTCAGTCACTTTCTCGTCGGCATCAGACGCGCCGTTAGTTGTCATATCGGTTACTGATTCTTACTTTATCCTGAGGATGGAACGGGGGAGAGATCCGCAATATTAAAAGCACAACACAAGGAAAGGAACGGGGGACATACGAAAGAAGGCATTATTGATCGGATCTAAAAAAGGTAAGAGTGGAACTAAACTAAAAAGGCAGAACTGACAAAACAGAATACACGATAGATCTCGTTACGAGGAAGACAACACGGGAGTAAAGAAACATACAGAATTGTTGACGCGTCAGTTCAACGCGGATGATGCGGCTAACTTGAATGAGGCGAACAGGGAGCTTCGAGGTGAAAGCTTGGTTTATGAGAAGTCCGAGAAATAAGATGATGGTGGTGGGGATGGCGCTTTAAGTCGACTGAAAAGGCAGGGTTACGGTACGGTGAAGTCGGGTGGGCAAGGCCAGGGATACAGTAAATGGAGGGAGGGAGGGGAGAGGGGGAAAAGAAAGTCGACACTGCTACAGCTGCAGATCCTTCATAACAAAAGCCTCGCTATCAGATACAGTCACGAGAAAACGAGCACTCACAATTAAAAGAGTGTAAACCACGTTACCAGGAGCACTAATACAACTGGGAAATCAATCCGTACTGAACACAAAAGGCGCTGTTCGGCAGCCACAGGGGTTCGACGGGAGGGCATGGGACGGAGGAGGACAACGTCGGGCCTCCTGGTTCGACCTTGACGAACCAGGCAAAACACCACGGTCAGTAGATGAAAAAACGAAAAACATGCCGGACGTGGGCGAAAAACGCGACCCGAACCCCAACCTAGACCTGTGACCGCGCCGCATCCTCCTCATGAACCCCCCCCCCCCCCCCCCTGGCGGAAACTTTCCGCTCCAGTGTCGAGGGGTGGAAAGTGGATTCAAGTGAGGTGGACAAACCACAGGGAATCAGAATTCATGCACTATAATTTATCACCCAGATTAGTTACTAGCCTATTTCCAAGTACTCAACGGAAAATTATCGGAGAATTCATGAGATAAAACTCGGGTGAGATTTTCTTGTTTAAGTGTTGAGTTTTAGCTGTTGTAAATTAAACGCGAGCAAACAGAGTAAACTTGTCAACAGAAATAGCCAGGGTATTTTTCGCAATTTAGGGTGAGGCTTGCAAACAAACCCTTACGGGAACTGTTCACGTCGCGAAGGTTCGCATTTTGCAAGGCGTCTGCTTCCGTTCCCCTTACCCTACCACCCTGGACCTCCGCAATTACCGCCGAGTCCTTCCGCTTGCGCAAGGACCTCGAACTTGGCGTCAACTGTGGTTGACCCCAGGTTGACCTGTCACAACTAGGAGCGAGGCTGTCGATTTTCGATGCCTAGACTCATCCCTCGCTGGATCCCTTGGGCTGCCGAACACTGCCCGAGAGTGGCTCGACTAGCTCAACTCTAGCCTCGTTTTGGACAGTCTCTGTCCATTCTTTAGTTTTCTGCTTCTTGTGTCAATTTAGTTCATTAGTGAAACCCGCGCATTCATATCACAGTGTAAGGAATTTTCTCGGCATTCCTTACGGAGCCGACTACATCGCGTACAGCAACAGCCGATTGATCGCCCGTTACTGCTAACGGAACTTCGCCGACTTCGCGCGCACTGTTTTACCAAACCTCGCACTGCTGGCATGGCCGTATCGGCCTACGCTTCGGGACTAGCCCGAGCCTCGCGCCAGCGTAGCACTAGCAAGCTCGCACGCACCGCGTTACCGTTTTGCATGTTTCGCGTATAAATGTTCGCTCATGCCTTCGCTCACATTTTGTACTCGTTTGACACCTTAGTGCAATTCTCGCTACCTCGATTCATTGCACCCGTAACACTTGTTATCAGAGCCCCTTTCTTTCGGACCGCGCATCTCCGCACACCAGGAAATCAACTTTTGATTTTTCACTCGAAGGGATTAACGCACCTTAGCCCCTAGGAGCCGCTGTCCTCGCGTTCTCTCGTAAACGCGTGCAGCCACGACTGCGCCTAGACTAAGACGAGCCGACGCCCTTCGTCATGGCCGAAAACATCGACGTCACCACTCTCACGCAGGAGCGTTTGAACGATCTGCTGCGACAACTGCACGAAAGCTCCGAGGAAATCGCGGCATTGACGGCAGAACGCTCATCACTGCAAAATGACCTCCTGAGAGCACAATCTCAAGCACCTGGCACTCCGATTCAACCCGCACCTGTCAGAATAATATATAAATCTATATATTGTTTTGTAATTGCCTGTAGTGTAGACTAGTGTAGTTATATAATGTTCTGTTTTGGTGGTGCACCTTTCATCTTGCCTATATGTACTGCTCGCTCTATAGTGAAACCACTCTTCTTCTCTTTTCAATTTTCTCGACTCTCCTAAACTTACTCGAACTCAACTAGCTATGGCTCCTTAGCCTAGCTAAGCTTCTGACATGCTATCAGAGTGACAAGGTCCTGACCTGTGGGCCCCACTTTAATGCTTCCGCTGCTACTGAGTGTCCTGCACGCCCTGTGGTGTGCCCTACTGTCGCGGCCTCGCCGCCTCTCTACTGTCGCGGCCCCGCCGCCCTACGTTGCGGTCTCGCCGCCCTTCACTGCGGCCTCGCCGCCCGTGCGCCGACGTCTGCGAAGCCGCCGCCCGTGAGCCGCCGCCCGTGAACCGCCAGTGGCCCGCCCGTGCGCCGACCGCCTGTGCGCCGCCCGTCCGTGAGCCGACGCCGCCCGTGAGCCGCCCACCCGCGCGCAGCCCGACACCAGCCGGCGCCGCCCGTGAGCCGCCCGCCCGTGCGCCACCAGCCTGCCCGTGAGCCGCTGGCGCCGCCCGTGCACCGCCCGTCCGTGAGCCGCCCGCCCGTGCGCCGCCCGCCCGTGAGCCGCCCGCCCGTGAGCCGGCGCCACCCGTGGGCCGCCCGCCCGTGCGCCGACCGCCCGTGCGCCGCCCGCCCGTGAGCCGCCGCCTCTGAGCCGCCAGTCCGCGAGCCACCCGCCCGCCCGTGAGCCGCCCGTCTCCTACACCTGCGGTCCCGACCCCGTTCCGGCCATGCCTCGTCACCAGCTACGGCACACCGGGGGCACGTGCACCCCCCCCCCCCCTTCTTCCCGTCACCTGTCACGGCTCCTTCGGGGGCCGCACGCGGCCCCCTCAGGTCGCCTTGACAGGTGACGGGAGGGGTGACCTGAAAAGGGGGGGCAGTCGTCGCCCCCTCTGCCGCTTGCTTTGGCGCCCGGGGAGGCCGTGCGTCGCCCCCCCCCCCCCCCCCCCCCCCCCTCTTCTCCTCCTCCTTTTGTTCCCTCTGCTGCAGCTGCCGCTGGGGGGGAGGGTGTGGGAGTGTGGGGGAGCCCGGGGAGGGACTGGGGGTGGCGGGTGTGGGGGTGATGGGTGATGTCTGGTCCCCTGGCCCTACGGCCCCATTCTCCTCCGTTTGCCCCCCCCCCCCCCCCCCTCTGCTGCTCCTGCAGCAGTGTGAGGGGGATGGGGAGGGGGAGGGGGAGGGTGAGGGGATGTAGAGGGTGACCAACCAGAGCCTACCACCTCCTCTCCTCTCTCTCCCTCTCTCTCTCCTCTCTCCCTTCTGTTTTCTGTTTTCTGCACTGGTTGTCACTGCTCCTGCCTACTGCTGCTACTTCAACTGCACTCTGCTTGGTGTACCCCATTATGGGGGCGTTGACTGCATATTCTTCCCTACAGGCACTTATGGGGGCGTGTCAGAATAATATATAAATCTATATATTGTTTTGTAATTGCCTGTAGTGTAGACTAGTGTAGTTATATAATGTTCTGTTTTGGTGGTGCACCTTTCATCTTGCCTATATGTACTGCTCGCTCTATAGTGAAACCACTCTTCTTCTCTTTTCAATTTTCTCGACTCTCCTAAACTTACTCGAACTCAACTAGCTATGGCTCCTTAGCCTAGCTAAGCTTCTGACAGCACCCTCAACATCACAACACGGGAGTGTGGGGCAACCCGCGAGCGCGGCCAGTGATGGCGTCGTCCGCCCCGACGGAGACGACGACCACGGCACGACACACCCCAGAGCGACGCCTGCGGCCCCAAGTCAGCCTCGCGTCACGATTTCGGCACCAACCCACGATTCGGGACTGCCGTCACCGATGCCGCTGAAGCCGCAGCGCCCGCCATGCTTTTGTTGGAGGGCCCTACGACAGCAAGGGCCCTCACGAAGCTGTTGACTCAGTCGTATGCGGTGGGCGACTACTAGCGTTGACAACACCAACTCGGGAAAGACGGTGGTCACGCATTGACTAGCAGCAGCTGCGATGGAGCTTGTGCTAGTCTATGGGAGTCTTGCGAGCCTTCCTTGCAAGGCACGCCACCTCCTAGCAAGTTTGTGGGTGTCTTGTATGGTGTAGCCGAGTTGGGGTTGGTGTTTGGTGGTGCGACGTGTTTGGCGAACCATTCCGCTGCTGAGTCAGGTTGGAATTGGCCGAGGCGCGGTTCACCCACCCTCGCGACACTTTCGTGTGGGTTGGGTTACTGCGCAGCACCACGGCAACTTTGTGCAACTCTCCAAACTCTCCCGTAGCCTATATTTGCTTGTGTGTTTGCTTGTGTGTTGAATATATTCTATTTTCCTAGTGAAGTCCAAACGCTACTTCAATTCTCACTAAGTCCTTAGACGCGAACGCTACCGAAACTCTACCAAGTTGCTGACGCAACATTTCCCTAGCAGAAACTCTCTCGTTATCGCTACGCTCTATAATATATTCCTTCATGGTGCGGTGAGCGTGGACCGAACACGCATAGATTTCCGTCGTCATTGATATTTGCGTTCGTATACTCGCCTTGGCGTGCGGCGTTAGTGAAGGGCGCTTATTAATTTAAGTTGAACCTCTCTTGATTTCCCTCCAGTTACGTTCTCGGACCCAAGGATAGGGCGTTTGGTAATTTATTACCACTCGTCTGAGGACCCTTGTGAGGTGACCCCGAGACGAGGGATTTAAGGAAGGGGCAATTTATTTTAATTTGTGGTACCTTATCGAGACGTCGTAAAGGATGAGTACGGAGGAGGCGG